GAGTTGCCATGTATGTGTTGAACGGCCATGGGTTCTGAGCGGCAGTCCATCATACACGTGACAGACAGCTCATGTTATTGATTCAGGAGGAAGTGCATGGCTGGGAATCTAAGGCTGCCATAGAGGTGATTGAAAAGACTCCTGTTGCTTCACAACTCCATTCACTGCCAGGCTTCACTTCTAGACAAAGGCAAATATGGTGGATAAGAATGATGAGCCGCAGGGAAAATGTCAAATTGTATACTGCATATCAGTAACTCTAAATCAGATTTTGCCTTTGACTGAATTAGTTCCCTATCTATCTATCTATCTATCTATCTATCTATCTATCTATCTATCTATCTATCTATCTATCTATCTATCTATCTATCTATCTATCTATCTATCTATCTATCTATCTATCTATCTATCTATCTATCTATCTGATCAGTAGATAATACTCTCTTTAATATCTCTTTTCTCCCCAATTCTTCTGTGCATGCATATTGTATCCAAAATGCACCACCATTTTGGCATCCTCTTAACCAGAATGCTCTCATTTATCAGCAACTGATTAATCACTGAGTCCTGATTGTGGTCTTAATGATATCATTTAATGCCAATAAAGTAAGCAATGCACCCAAACGTGTCCATCCTGGGCATCTGAGCTTGGAAGACTTACCTCAAATTTGCACTGAATTTAGTTATACATTGTATTTAACCATTCATTTATGCTTTAACAACTTCTGTGCACACAGGTACAGTACACACAATGCAGATATTATTGCACAATTAAACAGAAATGCATGGAAATGCACAATATTGAAGTATCTTCTCTATATATTCCAAAATCTAAAATGAATACTGTAACATATGTTCAGTATATCAAATATATCAATATTTATTATGGCTATACTAGTGCTGTTAGAGCTGCCTGCTCTAATCAAAGTTGAGTGTAAGAAAGGTGTAATCCCCTCTGTCAGGAGATGAGGGACATGTAAGGAATGCCAATACTAGTTATGTCATTAAGACAAAGAAGAAGGGGATATTTAACCTGCATACTCAAGGTGTCGAAAAAGAATCCTTGAAACTGATAACGAGCTGCTTGATATGGCTGTTTGATAGAGGTGGATGCCCCTGTGGAATGATTCTCGGGCAGAAGGATTGCCTCTTGAGTGGCATGCTAAGCCTTCCGAGATGATACCTTCATCTCAGGGTAAACATAAAGTGAAAGCAAGGATTAAGAGTGGCTTAACCACCGACCAGAAAGTGCTAACAAGAAGGTTAAATGAGGTTCTGGAAGATTCTTATGTGCCCTTCCCTAACCTTGTGTAACTCACAATAGTGAGTGGCACTTAATGCTCCTGCAGTTTTAAATGACAAAACAGTCTGGGAAATCTCACAGTAAAGGGTGATTTGCTGTCTTCTAAGTGATAGGGCACAAAATGCAGAGGACATTGAAATAATGGTGTATAATGGTGTGTAGTGGAGGCCTGGATCACAAAGAATGTGTTAAGAGAATTGAACAGGCGTGAATGAATTCAACTCCAGATTACATGTCTTCTCATGTACCACTGAAGCCTGTTGCTGTCCCCTGCCTATGTTTTTTCTCTGGGGCTTTATTTGCCAAACTGTTGTTGTTCTGCAATGAACAGTGATCAATCAGATTTATAGATTGGACATTATGCTTGCAGTTCAGACTATGAATGGTGAATAAAAAAAAATCAATGAATACCTGATGTGCATACAATGAGTGAAAGCATTGAATGTAGGCAAGGTCATCCATAGAAGGTTTGTTTAAATATTGCATACAGCCCTTAGCACTGGTTAGAATGGACTTTGGTCTGTTATTTTTCTTCTAAGCCTGGGAATATTTCAGTTTTTACTTATTAGTTTGTTGGGTATCAAATTGTGCCTAGAATGAAAACTGGCTGAATAATTTGCCTTGGGGATTTTTGCCTTGCTTACTTTTGACTAATTCTAAGGCTTTGAATTATTAAAAATTGGCGAGCAGTTCCTTTACTGTTATTTCACTCTGAAGAGTGACTGCGTTATGTCAAGCAGCTGGTTGCACAAGGAGAAAATGGATTTCTGACAAGCAAAGTTCTCCATTCTTGGCAGTACTTTGGGGAAAAATGCTTCATCTCAACCTCCTTAACTACCTGTTCCATGTGAATCCGCATTGATTTGAGGGGAAAGAAAGAAGTGTGGAGATTTATAGAAATATCTTATTCAGCAGTAATAGTGTTTTCCCCCAGAAGTCATAAATTGTGGTAATGTCTTTCCTGTCAATCTATAACATCAATGAATAATCAGCTACCACCCCTTTATAGTACAGAGGAAGAGATGTCAAGCCCTTCCATCCTTTCTTTCTTTCACATTCTCTTTTCCACTGAACAATGATGACAAAGCCATCTAAACAGAAATGTCTTTTAACAAAGCTAGGTTCTAATTCATGGGGCAGTGCTTGGTGAATAAAAATAAACTTTAGCTCACCAGAAACCACTCTGTAAATGTGTTTTGTAGCTTTTGAATGATTATTTTTCATATCTCACATTTGCTTAATCAATTGAAATTACTTAATACCTTTCCATATCCTTATCATAATCATCTCATGAAACTGATAATTATATAGCTGATCATATACACCGATCAGCCATAACATTAAAACCAGTTGAAGTGAATAACATTGATTATATCATTACAGTGACACCTGTCAAGGGGTTGGATATATTAGGCAGCAAGTGAACAGTCAGTTGTCGAAGTTGATGTGTTGAAAGCATGAAAAATGGGCAAGCATAAGGCTCTGAGCGATTTTGACATAGACAACTGGATCAGAGCATCAGAACTGGACCCTGGAGCAATAGAAGAAGGTGGCCTTGTCTGATGAATCATATTTTCTTTTACATCCTGTGGATGGCCGGGAGCGTGTACGCTGTTTACCTGGGGAAGAGATGGCACCAGGATGCACTATGGGAAGAAGGCGGAGGCAGTGTGATGCTCTGGGCAATGTTCTGCTGGGAAACCTTGGGTCCTGGCATTCATGTGGATGTTACTTTGACACATACCACCTACCTGAACATTGTTTCAGACCAAGTACACCCCTTCCTTGCAACAGTATTCCCTAATGTCAGTGATCTCTTTCAACAGGATAATGCTCCCTGCCACACTGCAAAAACTGTTCAGGAACGGTTTGAGGAACATGACAAAGAGTGCAAGGTATTGACTTGCCCTCCAAATTCCCCAGATCCCAATCCAATCGAGCATCTGTGTGACGTGCTGGACAAACAAGTCCAATCCATGGAGGCCCCACCTCGCAACTTACAGGACTTAATGGAACTGCTGGTAATGTCTTGGTACCAGATACCACAGCACACCTTCAAGGGTGAAGTCCATGCCTTGACAGATCAGAGCTGTTTTGATGGCACATGGGGGACCTATACAATATTAGGCAGGTGGTTTTAATGTTATGGCTGATCGGTGTATATGCACAAATTTTAATGCACAAGGTCGACTTCTTAGTTTTTATGAATCTTCTCTACATAAACTTACTATAATTAAACATACTCAAATGCTCTGCCAAAACAGATGTTTACAGATCACAAAAGTAGACCTAACCATTTCCTCACAGAGTGCACAGAGAGTCCACTGTCCTCAACAAATGTGATCTGATGGTCATTCAAATTTCCCATGTCAACTACCATTCCATCCTCTTCACCCATCTGATCAGAAAATACACTACCTATCTGCAGACCACCAGAGAGTGAAATTACAATCAATGCACCTGCAGAAATATTACTAACATTGTTCCACATGAGGAGTCCCAAATACAAGATGTTAACAAATGGAGGTTAGCTAAAGATGTTGCTTTAGCTCCAATGGCAAACCATCAAAATAAAAAGAAGCTGAATTGCATTATTCCAAAATGAAAATTCTGAAACTTTTAATATAAACAAATAAACAAATAAATAGATAAATATTATAAAATGATTGCACCCAAAATGATAGAGGAATAAAGACATAGATAGATAAGAGGGGAAAAAGGATAAAAATATTTAAAAGCACAGTGATTAATTGAAATATTGTGGAACCAGCAGGTTTAGCTCATGTTTTTGTCAATTTATTCTTAGTGAGGTGTAAACCCCAGGACGTGACAGAGATCCTGACTTATGTGACTCTGCATTGGCCTATTTATATAGTGTAGTTGGCATATTTATATAGTGTAGCTTTTTATTGGCATTTTTTTATTAAGCTACATTGTTCACAAGTGCACTCAATCCAAAGGAATAAAATAATAACACATGCATACACTATATGGCCAAAACATTTTGGACACTTGACCATCACACCTATATGCGGTTCTTCCCCAAAATGTTGCCACGAAGTTGGAAGCACTCAATTGTATAGTATGTTCATTAACTTCCATTCACTGTAACTAAGAGGCCCAAACCTGTTCCAGCATGACAATGCTCCTGTGCAAAAACTGAGGTCCATAAAGACGTTATCCCAAGGTTGGTGTTTATCTGAGTGGCCTGCACAGAGCCCTAATCTTGACCCCACTGAACACTTTTAGGATAAACTGGAATTCTGACTGCGCGCCAGGCTTCCTCACCCGACATCAGTGCCTGACCTCACTAATGCTCTTGTGGCTGAATCGGCAAATCCCCACAGCCACACTCTAAAGTCTAGTGGAACTTTTAGCCAATTTATAGTTAGAGTTTGAATTGGTATATAATGTTGTATTATAAGCCAGTGTCTAGCACATAGATTCCATCATACACATGGAAGGTTCTTATTTAATTCCTGTTGCCATGAGCCTCTCAGATGGTTTAGCATTTGTGTGTGTATAGAGTTAATAATGGAGTTGTTCCTCTTTTAGCTTCTCCCGTTAGAGGATCACTGGGCCGCATATTTGATTTGGTACAGTTTTTATGCCAGATACCCTTCCTGACACAACAGTCCCCAGTTATATCCGGGCTTGGGACCAGCACTGAAAGCACACTGTTGCATGCGGGGGTTGGTTCCTTGGCCAGGAATCGAACCAGGGTTGCAGAGTGAGAGCACTATGGCCTAACCACTAGTCCTCCAGGGACCAGAGTTAATTATAGAGTGAATGTATAAGATTATACCTTTTATATTTGGCTTTTAATGAAGCTGTTTATCAAAAAAAAATATGTGCTCTGGTAGCTAAATTAAAAATAGGATTAATTTCTATTAGTAAAGTGCCCTACTTGAGACACTGTAAACAGTGAGCTGTGAGCTCTTAAGTATAGAAGAAGAAAATATGGCAATGTGACTGTAGATTTGAGGGACTTGCATAAATGTTCTGACACCAAAGGGGTGACAAAATTATAATTAACCTTATAGCAAGATGACTAGAATATCTAGTCACCCAAAAATAATAGCAAGTTTCTTTGGTTCTTTTGCCTAATACAATTGCTCATATTCTTCTATTCTATCTGCAATTAACTTTTCCAAATTATTAAAAATTGCTCTCCCTGACAAATGCAAAAATGATGTAGGACAATCATTTAATGAAACCCATGTGACCTGCTAGAGAAAAGGGTAATGTGGACCATCTCAAAAGACCTTTCTTACAGCTTTCGGAAAGTGGGTCAAAGTTTTATTTAAAAAAGGGCATTAATGGAGCGTCTAACCTAAATGCCTGGGTATTTTAAGCATGCCATGATCAGTTTAAATGGGATGATCTGAACATTTGCAAAACAGTCAGTCTTTTGTAGATTTTATAGATTTAATTTAGAAACGGTTATTCTTCCAAAAACCAATACAGAAAAAAAGAAGATATTTGATTAAATGCACAAATCAGCAGTTCAAATGTGTATAATGAAACTTTAATTTCCACCTCCACAGTGATAGTACCGAAATTTGGCAAGTGGTTGAACTATAATAGTGAACAGTAAAGGAGACAGAAGATCTGCTCATTTTGTACTAATCAGAAGATTAAAACAGTGAGGCTATAGATTTGTTCAGACTGAAGTCCATTCCATAATATCAGTATTTCTCTCTGTATTCAGTGAGTAGTGGAGTATTCAGTGGAGCAGGGTAAGCAGTGTAAATGACGTTAAAAGGAGTTATATAGGTTATTAAAAAAATTAAATTAGTTAGGTGAAGTTAGCTAAATTAGTTAAATTGTTAGTTAGGTTCTTGCTAGCACCATAATGTGTTAACACATTATAATTATTACATCAACTATCTAGCTATTCCAGTTAGCATGTTTTTTTGTTAGCTAGTTTACATAGCACCATTTCCACAGCATCAAAATTCAGCCTCTGATATTGCTGTCATGCCCAGTAAAAGTTTTTATAATCCTCTGGGAACAGGGCTTGGTGGACACACATGTCCTTCTATTTCGTTAAATCCAATTTCATCCCCCCCATCTCAGAGTTAGCTAGAGTTTGCAGGAGAAATTGCTAAATAGAGAAGCTCTATCTTGTACCCAGCTGTCGTAATCTGATTGACATAGAATGCTGTTGTGCAGTGGCGCCTGGACAAGAACAGCCCATAACCAACCCACTGACCACATTACTCTAGTTCAAACACACACACTCGGGTTAACAGACTGTTCAGAATCAGAAGATTGGAAAATGGGCTAATCCATGCACAGCAAGCAGGGCAGCAGTATGGCTGCCAGGGCATGTCCAGTTCGAACACAATGAACCAAATATTACATGAGGACAAACTAACATCTAACAAGAATACATTCAGTTTTAATTCATTTGCAGCCAGTGTAATCTACTGCTATAACCTACAGTATACCTACCACTTTGCTGACACTACTGAGCATCGATATTATTTGTATTTTTAATATTAATCTATAACCTATCTTAATTATACAGCTTAAACAAATAAAATTATTTTAAAATATACTTTGTGTACAAATGACAATGTGTAATAATAAACCCATATTAATTAAAGACTGTAAACGGTGATAAAGATGGTTGGGGGTTTTCAGGGTTCTCCAGTGTTCATAAAAGCACACTTACACATGTTCTCCTTGTGTCTGTGTGGGTTTCCTTTGGGTTCACCAGCTTCTTCCCACTTCCCAAAATATAGACTGGTAGTTGGATTGGCTACGCTAACTTGCCCCTAGGTGTGAATGAGTGTGCAAACAGTGGATCTGGTGGATCTTGATGCTGATTATCTCCTGATGTAATGTATAATATATAAGTAATATATAATGTATGAATGTATAAGTTGTGGTGACATAGACACTATATTGTTGAACTTCTGCAGTTTACCAGTCTACCAGGTGTATTCTTCTTAATTTTAACATGCTTTCCAATTTTTTTTATTTTGTGCAAGAAACAACAAGTGCAAGATTTTATTTTGCATGTTCTGCCAATAATGGGGGAATCAGTTGACAGTATTATTGCTAATTTTTTTTTTTTTTAACTTTTATTTTTATTTAGTTTAATATACAGAATTGACAACGCAGAAGAAAAGAAAGGGGAAAAAAATATTATTGCTAAATTAATAGCAAATATGTGTTTAATAAAACATAATAAGCGTGCATAATATGCATAAGAAAATATACATCAGTTGAAAGCTCCTTATTCCAATTCAGGCTAAGAAAATTAGATAGACCTTTAAGAGAAAGGTTTTTTTGTCCTTTGGATCTTCATCTTCATGGGTATCAGTTGTTTTATTAAATATTTTAAATGATTTGTTCCATGGAGAAGACCAGGTGACCAAAAATTCATGTGCACAAAGTTGAAGATTTGCCTGAAGGTAACACTTCGTTAGGAATAAAAGAAACAAAGCTTGCAGACCGTCTTTAGCTCTCAGTTGCTGAAGTTGTTCAGTTTATAAAAGCAACTTATATTAAAACACTATCAATACCAAAAAAAACAAATCATGCCTAAAGTAGAACTCAACAGATTGGAGAAGGCCTGGAACACTGTTTTAGAAATCAGCTAAAAAAGCCTTCATGTTTTCTCTGAAATCAGTAAATAAAATGGAGAATTCACTGGCCCAGAATGCAGCATTAACATTAGTGCTCTGCTTGTTGTGTTATTATCATTGTTTATTTAGGAAGATTCATTGATGATTGTAGCTAATGCAAGTACAAATAAAACCCAGTTACAAAATCACTACCAGCACTCCAAAAGCTCTCAATGCTTCAGATGATAGTATTTATACAATACAATAGCCATTGGAAGACACTGAAACTTTAAACACTGCTAACTGTCTGGTAGTGATTCTATGATGATACGAGTGAAACTGTGACTGGGCATAAGGGACTACTGTAATCTTGCATATTTTAAGAAATTCAATAATGAGCTTTGACAAATGGATGGCTGTTGATGCATGGTCTGTTTCTCCACAGCAAGTATCCATGGATCCTGTCTACAACAGACATGTGTTTCAGTGAACTAAAGTAAACTAAAGTCTCATACTAATTGCATTTTAGTATTAGTATTTACACACATTACAAAGCACATATTATAGCCAGGACCAGCTATTACATATAACTTTAGCAAAATATATCAAGATGCAGCCAAGGTTGAAAAGGTGTCCAGTATGATGTGGTTCACTTTGCACCATCGACGTGTACTCAAAGGTTTTGCTGCTGAGTGTGAAGATGTTTGGTGGGTAGTCCTATGGATACTGTATGTTTTATAAAAGTGTCTTTTACAAAAGAAGTGAAATCATGCAAACGGAAGTGCAGTATGAACAAAAATATTATATTATCGTCTTGTCACTAGTTTATCTCCCTAGTGTGTCATGGCTGCTTTCACCTGCTTTTAGTTACTTCTTCTGTTTCTTTGTCCAGTTGCAAGGTCTTATCATGCTTTATGTCTGTAATAATTCTATGGACTTCCAGCTGACGTGCCCACTGCATATTCCAGTGTCATGTGACAGCCTAGAGCTCCCGCCAGATGGATTTATATTTCAGTGTGACTTGTATTTTCCATACCTGGAACATCCAAGGCCTGACAAGATAGAGAGGGTTAGGTTTATGTTATCTTGGCTTACCAGTGAAGCTTGCGAGTGGGCAGAGAACCTGATAATAATATGGACACCCAGGTTTGGAGACCCCCTTTGAGATTGGCGGTCTCCTAAGACAAGAATTCCAGGTTCCAAAAAAATGAAGGTGAGGTACAATTGTACACATTTTATTTATTTTCCTAAATGTCATAATGATTTGCATTCAGTGATTAATGATCTGAATGAGGCTATGAGTTTGCAGTATGCAAGTGAATATTAGAGATTCAGAGAAATCCTCAAATACAGATTGAGATCGATAGAGGAGGAAACGATGGAGGGATTCACAAAGTGGTCAATTTGAGATTGTAAGGAATTCTAGTTTTGAAACTCATCCTCTTTATCAGCTGTAAGGGTGTAAGGGTGTGTGGGCCACACTTGGCTGTATTCCCAGACTATGTTAATGGGCAAACCACTCAGTAAATATATGACTTTTCTCATATTATCAGCTAACTTTCTCAACCAGTGTTTTACAAAAACTGAAAAGAAACCTTCTCTTTCCTTCTGCAAAAATAAGGGCTTATCTGTTCTTTGCAAAGTTTAGAATATATTAGGCAGTTTTCCCTTTTCCTTTTTTTCCCCCTTTACTCCAAGAGACTTCTAACATCCAGAATCATTTTACCTGTTCTATTACGTCTATATTTAGTAATTTGACCAAATTTTATGTTGATAGAATGCTACTATTGGACCTGTCAATTTGTACTTGGTCAAAAGAATATCTTGAGGGACCACAGACAAACTAGTGGAGGCAGTATATCATCAATGAAGCCACAATCAGTCTGTAAAAGTCTGGATGTTAGATGGTGAGCTCCATGTCACACCTTCACAAATATCTGCAAGTGACTCTCCTCAAATGTCTGCAAGCTCTGCTCTGGAGGTAGCCAAACTATGTCCAGGTCTCAGTGTGGGACCATTGTTTTGCATGAAGGTTGGAGATGTTATGCACCTTTCAGAAAAGTTTTGCCTATTTAATGTGCCTAATCACCTGGGCGCCACTGCAATCGGAATGTGGAAATATGCATCCAACAGATCTATGGTTACAAACCAAATGGAATGGCAGTTGTTGTAAGAAGAGATTTAGAGCTC